TCGTTTGCCGCTCGTATTCATTTTGACGCCTGTAAAAAGCGCCATTTCTTCTGTTTTAACATCTACTCCTCCTGTTTCTAAAGGAGGAATAAGCCATTTTTGTATATATCTAGTGCTTCCTATTTTCCCTGTTTTTATTGATAAGATTGGGGTCTGTCTACTTATAGATTTTCCCCAGCTTTATGGTTTGGACTTCTTTATTTGGTAAACTTTCTTTTTTGTTATTGAAGTTGAATTTGGTGAATGCTCCCTCGTGACTAATCTCATTATGTCGGTCTGGGGCTCCGCGCATACATGACTGAACCTCAATTATGTTGTGATCTGAGTATATTGTTTTTGATATGGTAAAAATTTCTTATCAGATCATCATTGTTAGTGAAGATGAGGTCTAGTGTATTCTCCAGTCTAGTAGGCTCTATTATTTGCTGGTTTAAATTGAATTTTGTGCAGAGATTTAAAAGCTCGCGTGAGTGTGAGTTTTCATCAGAGCTGCCTCTGGTGTTATTACTGCAACAATATTATTTGCTATATTCCTCCATTTTAGGTGCCTTAAGTTGAAACCCCCCAGGAGCAAGATGTTTGGTGCAGGAGCGGGAAGGTTTTCCAGACAGTGGTCAATTTTTAACAGCTGTTCCTGGAATTGCTGTGGATGTTGCATCCGGAGGCTTGTAGACTACCACAATGACTAGGTTTGGTTCTCGACCTTTACTGCTAAAACTTCCACTACATCATTTGAGGCATTTAGCAGTTCTGTGCAAACAAGTGACTCTGCAATGTACAGGCCAACCCCCCCCCTTTTGCCTGTTCACTCTGTCACATCTGTATAGGTTGTAACCTGGGATCCATATTTCGTTGTCCAAGTGATCCTTTATGTGGGTCTCAGTGAAAGCCGCGAACATTGCCTTTGCCTCTGCAAGCAGTCCACGGATGAAAGGTATTTTGTTGTTTGTTGCTGGCTTTAGACCCTGTATATTTGCAAAGAAGAATGTTATCGGACTGGTGGTATTGTTGGTACTGGGGGGGATTTTTTTCCGGCATTAGTATCTGTATCTGTTGGTTTGGAGTGGAGGCCATCGACTGTGGTTCCACTCCAGGAATGACTGGATTTGGTGTACGATTTCTGCCATTTCCTGCCAGTTTTTTTTTCCTTCCTGGCACTAAAAAACCTCTCCTTCTTGAGTGGCTGTGGCTACCCAGGTTTTTCCATGGCCTGGATGTTTTGTATCTTTTTGTCCCCTTTAGATGGTATGCCTGGCAATTTAAGTACCTACTTTATTTATTTATTTATTTAGTAATTTAAGCATACATACAGAGGTACAAAAAATACAGGTAAGAGCAGCATGCCAAAGCCACTTATATGCATAGCATTACGGGCTGGCTTAAAATTAACTTAAGATTAACTAAGCAATGATGAAATCAGTGATAAAACATTATTGTAAACAGATAACTATAAAGCACAAATGAGTATTACAAAGACAGGTCATATGGTTGCATGCATTGCTGTACATTCAGTCGAATGGAGTATTCTGTTAGGTAGTGTATTTTTTAAAAAAATAAAGTTAGATTGGGTCCTAGGTTTAAAAATTTGTGTGAATAATTGTGGGGAACAAAAAGGGTATACAATTTATAAGGGTTTAGTTATTCAATTTTATTGGGTTTTTTGTTGATTTTGCAAATTTTAGGGGAGGGTTAAATATAAATTAAGTTTTCTATGTAGTAATAGTGCAGAATAAGTGGATGTTTTGTATGGGAGTACCTGATTTTACCGGGAGAGATTTCCGGGGGTCAACGCCCCCCGGCCCGGTCTGTACCAGCCTCCTGGGGATCAAGCCTAAACCAGGCTGTTGTTTGTGGCTGCACGCAAACCAACGTACGACCCACACCCGCGATCCGGAACTGCTTTGGGTGTTTGTCCATGCCAGCTTGAAGACGCCGGGGGTCTGTTGGTAACCCCCCTTTGTGTGTGGGGGCATTGAACAGTCCGGCCCCCGAATATTGATGGTCTCTTAACGTGCTAGGACCCCCTGCTTTTCTTTGGGGGGATGGTGATCGTCTGCCAATCTTTTGCTTTCGTAGTGATGTTTTGGTGCAAGTTGGGGAAAAATAATCTTTCTAGGTTTTTTCCGGGTTATAATCATGTATCTCCCCCCCCCGTTCCAGGAAACGGGTTTTAGGAACCTCAAGCGCTCCCCAAAAATTTGGGGGTGTTTTATCTCCGATGCCGCCGGGAAATTTCCTTGTACATTTTCTAGGTGGGAAATTTTCACCTCCCTTGAAAGGTGCTGTTAGTGTGCAGCAATATTCCACCCTGATAACAATGCCCTGAAGATGTCATCAGGGGTTGGGCCCCCATTTTTTTGAAGGTTCTCATTATCCATCCTTTTTTTTGGTTTTTGAATTTTGGTGGATGTGCTGCCTGTATGAGAATTGTTTCATTCTAACGCAGCCTTTTTTTGGGTAATTAGGGGTCTGAGATGGTTAATTGTTTTTGACCCCCATGCACAATTCCCATAGGTGAGATAGGGGTAAATAAGAGAGTGATAAAGGGCCCGGAGGGCTGACTGGGGGAGCATAGTACCGTATCTTTGTTATGCCTACAGTTTGGGAAAATTTTCTTAAAAAATTTTGTTGTATAGGTATGAAATTTGAGTTATTTTCAAGGTGGATTCCTAAGAATTTTCCCTTGTTAGTTTGTGATAGGGGACTGTTTTTCTTATGTTAAGAGTAATTGTAGCCTGTTTCCAAAAAGAATGAAATAGGTTTTGTCAATGTAATTGGTTGAGCGGAAGAGCTTGCCCCATTTGCATACACATATTGGCTTCTGTTGCTGAGGTATAACTTGAGGTAGTTGAGGGAGTGCCCTCTAATACCATAGTGTGACAATTTTACGTGGAGCAAGTCATGGTCAACTGTATCAAAAGCTTTACGTAAGTCAATGAAGATCCCCAGTGGGACTTCTTTTTTCTCTATTGCAGTGTATATATGTTCTAGCATGTGTATAATAGCATCATTAGTATTTTTATTAGGCCTGAATCCAAATTGGCAGGGGTTGAGAATGTTTTGGGAGATGAGGTAGGAGTAGATTCGTTTATGAATTAATTTTTCGAAGATTTTTGAGAGAGGGTGTAAATTGGATATTGGCCTATAGTTATTCAACTCTGTTTGGTCTCCTCCTTTATGGATCGGGGTGACCCTTGCTATTTTGAGAGCTGTTGGGAAGGTGGAGGATTCAATGGATTTGTTAAAGAGTGTTGCAATGATTGGTGATAGTACTTGTGACACTTTTTTGTATATAAAGGCCCGGTGGCCTGGTGGCTAAAGCTCCCGCTTCACACACGGAGGGCCCAGGTTCGATTCCCGGCGGGTGGAAACATTTCGACACATTTCCTTACACCTGTTGTCCTAGGACGTTCACCTAGCAGCAAATAGGTACCTGGGTGTTAGTCGACTGGTGTGGGTCGCATCCTGGGGGACAAGATTAAGGACCCCAATGGAAATAAGTTAGACAGTCCTCGATGACGCACTGACTTTCTTGGGTTATCTTGGGTGGCTAACCCTCCGGGGCTAAAAATCCGAACGAAATCTTATCTTATCTTAAATCTCCTGCCTTGTTTTTTAGTGTGTTGATAATAAGGGAGACTTCGTATGGGTTAGTCGGAGCTAGGAACAGTGTGTTCGGGTAGTTGCCAGTGAGGTAGTCATTTGGTGGGGTATCTGTGCTTGGGATTTTGTTGGCAAGGTTTTGTCCTATAGTGGTAAGTGAACATGGACAACAGGCGTCTTATAATAATAATAATATTTCCACCCGTACCGAAGGCCGAAGCATGACTAAACACTAGGATCAAGTAACTATTAGCAAATTAAGATTTCCCAAAAGGTGTGGCTTTATGGCAAATCACTACACACAGGTATCGTTCCAGATCAGTGGTTGGTAGACACCCGTACCCATCATATGGGTGACTGTCAATCCACATCAGCCCTATGGTTGATTAAGTAAGTTTATTCAGGTATACACAAATACAGTTACATAGATTATCATATATAGCAGCATATGTGTAGAGAACCTGGGATAACCCAAAAAAGTCAGACAGTGACTTATTTCCATTGATATGTACCCCATTTCATCCACCTACTATGGTGGTATTAGATGCACTGTTACCTCCAAGGATGGACCACACATGACCACACCTCAGCTGGTCATTTGATCCCAGTTAAACACAGCAAGCCAAATGGTACACAAACTTATAATTAAGGGAGGTGTGATGCCTAAAGTGAAAACCAAAATCATACAACCTAAGTTTGGGCAGCAAATAAACAAGCAAATCCGTATCAGGCTCACTAGATTACAATCGATTATTATAATCATCAGGGAGTGCTAAACCCATAGGATTATACAGAGCCTGTGGGGATGATGTAAAAGGTATTCAGGCTTAATTCAGGGAACTGGAGCACAGATCCAAGTTCCTAGATCAAGAGCCCCTCACCAGCGTCAAGGAATTTCCCTAGCTTTGCATAAAGAGTCGGTGCCTAATTTACCACTTTTCTCTTTCTATTCACTAATGATGCATGATGCTAACCATCAGCCACGGCTCCTGGGATAAGCTCAACTTCCAGGCACGTGGAAATGAGTAGTAATGTTTGCGAGTCTCCATGCATAACAAGCACATGGGGACATTATTATTATAATCAAAGGGGAAGCGCTAAACCCGTAGGATTATACAGCACCTGTGGGGGGATGTGGAAGGTATTCAGGCTTAATTCAGGGAACTGGAGCACAGATCCAATTCCCTGAATCAAGAGCCCCTCACCACCGTCAAGGAGCCTTCCTTGAGGGGCACATGGGGACAGCTCTTAGTTCCTGCATTTATTATTATTATAATCAAAAAAGAAGCGCGAAGCCACAAGGGCTATACAGCGTATAGCCCTTGTATTGGAAGCTTCAGCCGGTGTAGACAATGGTAGCTACTGACATTACTAAATGTTAAAGAAGGTAAACTTACATTTCTTCTTTTAAGGGTCACCCTGCCTCGGTGTGTTAAAATAATAATAATAATTATTATTACACTCACAGGGAGTGCTAAGCCTGTAGGAGTCATACAGTTCCTGCGGGTAAATGGAAGGTATTCAGACACAATTCAAGGAACTGGAGCACTGGTTCAATTTTAGATCAAGAGCCTGTCAACAGCACAAAAAAATTTCCGATTAATAATAATAATAATAAACTTGAAAGGGTTATACAGCTTGCTTCTCAGTATAGCATATGTGGTATGTTGAGAGTATGTTACATATCATTCAGTGCATGTCACACAACAACATAGGCATGTCGTCCTTACCAGCAAACGAGATGCTAAGGGCATAATGAGTAGGGGCTCCATCGCTATGCTAGTACCTTGGTTCAACAAGCCAATCACAAGGAAGCCTGCCAAAGTTGTGAATTATTATAATCAAAAAGAAGCACTAAACCTACAAGGGCCAAAGATGTGAAGCGATGTGGTACACTCGTAAATCATCCATGGCAGACTTCCCTTCAAGTCTGGTTGCTACACAATTCTCATCGTGTCTCTTGCTTGCATTTTCCCGATTATACCTAGACTATACATATTGTACCTACCTGATTACTATTATGTAAAGGAAATACAAATATTTACTTCCTCTGCTGCCTTTTTGCTCGTTCCTAAGTAGTTATTGTGCTACAGCCAGGTGTGAAGGCCAGTAAACTACACCTGTATTCATAATAGCATACAATTTTTTCACTACTGCATTTATGTGATCTTCCAGTGTTAATCTATTGCTATAATTACTCTTAAATACCTTTTGTCAGTTTTGAAGTGTATTGCACAATCTATATTTATGTAGCCTGTTTTCACTCTTCCCCTTCAATCATGTGACACTCATTTTAAGTTAAATGCCATCATACAATTATCATTCCCTGGATGAATTTAATTAAGTCTTCCAGTAGGGATTTTTAATCATTTTGACCAACTACTTGGCTTAAGATCTTTGCATCATTCACAAGATATAGTGCCAAGGAGTAGCTAAGAGTATCTCACTTGTGTTGAAGGTACAATAACACAGGAAGAATGTCACTCGGGGGCCACGAAAAATGTTGTATATTTACGCTATCAGACATTTTCAATAATATTATGGAAAATTATATACACACACAACCTATCATGTAATTGATGGTCTGACGGACACATATTAAATGACCATTTGGACACACAATGGACCATTTAGACCAGGGGTGGGCAAACTTTTCAGTGCAGGGGCCTTTCATTATAGAGAAAGTCTGCTCACAAATGTAAGCTGATGCAAACAACACAAACATCTTTCTTGAAATTTTTTTCAGATTTTGAAGCTTTTCAGAGTGTAGAGATTCATAAAACTTGAGCTTGGTGGGCCACATGAAAACCTTTGGTGGGCCGTAGTTTGCCCACTGCTGATTTAGATGATCAACTGTGAGTGGCTGGGCGTTTTGCTGTGAGCCTGGGTGTGTTGCCATGAGCCAGGGTGTGTTACTATGAGCCTGGGTGTGTTGTCATGCAGGCTACTGCATTAATATAAAGATAATTTTAGTCTAGGTAGTAGGTTGGTAGACAGCAATCGCCCAGGAAGGTACTACCTTGGCAGGAAGGTACTACCTTCCTGCCAAGTGAGTGTAAAACAGAAGCCTGTAATTATTTTACATGATGGTAGGATTGTTGGTGTCTTTTTTTCTGTCTCATAAACATGCAAGATTTCAGGTACATATTGCTACTTCTACTTACACTTAGGTCACACTACACGTACATGTTTTTTTTTTTTTCAACAAGTCGGCCGTCTCCCACCGAGGCAGGGTGACCCAAAAAAGAAAGAAAATCCCCAAAAAGAAAATACTTTCATCATCATTCAACACTTTCACCACACTCACACATTATCATTGCTTTTGCAGAGGTGCTCAGAATACAACAGTTTAGAAGCATATACGTATAAAGATACACAACATATCCCTCCAAACTGCCAATATCCCAAACCCCTCCTTTAAAGTGCAGGCATTGTACTTCCCATTTCCAGGACTCAAGTCCGACTATATGAACATAACCGGTTTCCCTGAATCCCTTCACTAAATATTACCCTGCTCACACTCCAACAGATCGTCAGGTCCCAAGTACATATCATTCGCCTCCATTCACTCCTATCTAACACGTTCATGCACGCTTGCTGGAAGTCCAAGCCCCTAGCCCACAAAACCTCCTTTACCCCCTCTTTCCAACCCTTTCGAGGACGACCCCTACCCCTCCTTCCTTCCCCTATAGATTTATATGCTTTCCATGTCATTCTACTTTGATCCATTCTCTCTAAATGACCAAACCACCTCAACAACCCCTCTTCTGCCCTCTGACTAATGCTTTTATTAACTCCACACCTTCTCCTAATTTCCACACTCCAAATTTTCTGCATAATATTTACACCACACATTGCCCTTAGACAAGACATCTCCACTGCCTCCAACCGTCTCCTCGCTGCTGCATTTACCACCCAAGCTTCACATCCATATAAGTGTGTTGGTACTACTATACTTTCATACATTCCCTTCTTTGCCTCCATAGATAACGTTTTTTGACTCCACATACACCTCAACGCACCACTCACCTTTTTTCCCTCATCAATTCTATGATTAACCTCATCCTTCATGTACAAGCATATATATACACATCCCTCTGGGTTTTCTTCTATCTTCTTACTAGCCCTTGTTTATTTCTGCTTATCTCCATTTGGAAGTGGAACATAAGTCTTCCTCCATAAACCATGTGTGTCGTAAGAGGCAACTAAAATGCCGGGAGCAAGGGGCTAGTAACCCTTTCTCCTATATACATTAATAAAGTTAAAAAGAGAAACTTTTGTTTTTCTTTTTGGGCCACCCTGCCTCAGTGGGATACGGCCAGCTTGTTGAGAGAAGAGGAAGAAGAATTTGTTTAGTGTCGCTAGTCACTCCAAGTTGTACATCTATGTCCAACTGGCCGTTTAATGTGTCCACCCACAACACTCACATTATATATACATTTATGGAGTATAAATGTATATAAAAATTATCTTCACATTAATGCAGTAACCTGCATGACTGTTGCCAGGATGTGTTGTCAGTGATTCATTCTGTTTACAGAATTTTGGGGGTCTATGATATAGGCAGTTAGGAGGGATGTCTAAGCTGTTGTATCTGAGTGCCTCTGCAAAGACAGTGATTATGTATGAGTGATGGTGAAAGTGTTGAATGATAATGAAAGTTTTTTCTTTCTCTTTGGGTCACCCTGCCTCGGTGGGGAATAGCCGTGTTAAAAAAAAACACTGTATTCTGGTAATTTTTCAAAGTTTCAAATTCACCATTCACAATGTATAAGCTAAGGACAAAAATATTTTAAGGTAGGTAATGTGTGTACTATACATTCATTTTACTTTCATATTTTTTTGTAAGGCCTAGCTCTATTGCACACTTAATATGTAATATTGTAAACATGTTGTCAGGCCTTTATATGTATTTTAAAGTGAAAAAAAAGGGCAATTCGTTTTATGGCAATTTTCCCTTTTATGACAGTAGTCTGGAACCTAATGCACCATATAACTGGGGCCCTCCTGTATGCAACTATACTATCATCTTCATCTGTATTACCATTCGATCTTTATTCCTATACAACATAGCCCTGTGAACAATTCCTTAAAGCAAACAACCATTCAATCTTAATTCCCATACAATATATTCCTGTGAACAATTCCTTAAAGCAAACAAGATTACTGTTTACATAGAAAATAAAACAAATATGTAAAACTGTCACCTTGGTGTGATCTTTATTGTTCCAAAATGGGATTAAACATCCTCAGTCATTGGTGACTGAGGTAACAAGTTGACATATACCCGAGCAAGTCTTTATTTTTAACATGTTTGTTCTGAATTATATCTTTATTCCTATCTTCCACCATTATTCATACTAAAGCCTCTCCTCACTTAGTGACGTACTCGTTTACCGATGCCTCAGACTTACAATGGGCACTCTGACCAGTATTCATACCTAAATAATGTATATTAGAGTTAATTTCTTCTATTCTGTTTATTTCAATATACAGTACACTACTGTATACACATTTAAAAATACAGTGGAACCTCTACTTGCGAGTTTAATCCGTTCCATGACCTTGCTCGCAACTGGATTTGCTCGTTTGCAGAGTCAATTTTCCTCATTTAAATTAACTGAAATGCAATTAATCCATTCCAGTGGAATTCTGTACTTCAATAATTTCGCTAATATCAACTCTACGGCTTATTTATCTATCTCACTTCATCTAATATGACATAATAAACAATATAAATAACATAGAAACCTAATATATACTCTAAAATGAATGAAATATGTCATTCATGTAGTGGTATGGGCGGTGGAGGAGATTTTGTCTGGACACCGGGCAAAATACTTCATGAATAATTTCGCTAGTATCATCTATACGGCTTATTTATATATCACAGTTCATCTAATATGACATAACAGACAATATAACATAGAAACACGATATATACTCTAGAATGAATAAAATGTCATTATGTAACAGGTGGAGGCGGCCACAACTGCTCCCTCTTTGTTGTGGTAAACACTGCCATCTAGTGATGGCCTTTTGAAGCCGTCTATTATTATAATTATTATATGTAGTACATTATTATTATATATGTATTATTATACATAGGTAGTAGGTTGGTAGACAGCAACTGCCCAGGGAGATACTACACCTACCATCCGACTTACGACCGAGTTCGGTTCCGAGAAACCGGTCGTAAGTCGAACTTTACTACTGAATATCAACAAAACATTTTTGTAATGACTTTATTTTGTTTTATTTTGGTATTTCATGTTTTACTTTACTTTTTATGCTGTTAGTACTGTATTTTATACTGTAAGGTTTAGGATAAACACTGTGTACAACACAAATAGTTGTTTGTTTCCCAGAAATTTGGCATAAAAAACACGGTCGTAAGTCGAGTGGTCGTAAGTCGAGCAGGTCGTAAGTCGGATGGTAGGTGTACCGTCCTGCCAAGTGAGTGTAAAACGAAAGCCTGTAATTGTTTTACATGATGGTAGGATTGTTGGTGTCCTTTTTTCTGTCTCACGAACATGCAAGATTTCAGGTATGTCTTGCTACTTCTATTTACACTTAGGTCACACTACACATACATGTACAAGCACATATATACACACCCCTCTGGGTTTTCTTCTATTTTCTTTCTAGTTCTTATTCTTGTTTATTTCCTCTTATCTCCATGGGGAAGTGGAACAGAATTCTTCCTCTGTAAGCCATGCGTGTTTTAAGAAGCGACTAAAATGCCGGGAGCAAGGGGCTAGTAACCTCTTCTCCTGTATATATTACTATATGTAAGATGAGAAACTTTCGTTTTTCCTTTTGGGCCACCCCGCCTCGGTGGGATACGGCCGGTGTGTTGAAAGAAAGAATATTATTATTATACATATTATATTATTATTGTATTATACTATTATTGTTATTATTATACATATTGTTATTATTCATATTATTATTATTATTATATATGAATTATTTGTAATTTTTATTCACACAAAATATATAAGATTTACTGTTATTCCTCATTGCAATAATTGTATAAATATGTCAACCCATTCACGACTGCATATTGGAATGGACAGTAACGTCATCTGTTTACTCTGAAACAGCCAAGCAATGGACCATTTCTCCTAGGTTGAGCTCAATTTCAAGGCACTTTTCGTCATGAAAGCAATTAAAATCATATCTATTTCTGTAATATATCTTCCATTCTATCAAATGAGACCAAAAAAACGAGAATACAACCATAAAAACCATTCAAAACTACCACTAAGGGGTGGCTAATTGCTGAGAAGTGAACTCCATTATTTATGCTTAGATTTCTTTCATTATTATTATTATTATTATTATATAAATAATTTGTAATTTTTATTTACAAAAAATATAAGATTTACTGTGACGTCATTTGTTTACAGTGAAACAGCCAAGCAATGGACCATTTCTCCTAGGTTGAGCTCTATTTCAAGGTACTTTTTGTCGTGAAAGCAATCAAAATCATATCTATTTCTGTAATATATCTTCCATTCTATCAAATGAGACCAAAAAAAAAACGAGAATACAACCATAAAAACCATTCAAAATTACCACTAAGGGGTGGCTAATTGCTGAGAAGTGAACTCCATTATTTATGCTTAGATTTCTTTCATTTTTGGTGTACGTTAAGAAGCATCTTTCCATCATACATTGCCCAAGTTTCAATAAGATAGTCCAACAAACAAATGAGATACAATTCCCGATATCAAGAGCAAGAGCCCCTCACCAGTGTCAAGGACCCTGCCTTGAGGTCTGGTCGCTTGTGGAAATTTTGCTCGCGTATGGAAGCAAAAAATCGACCCATCGACTGCTCGTATTTGGAAAAACTCGCAAGTAGAGGTTCCACTGTATACCAGAAATGTTATAAATGGTGCAAAGGTGACATAGAAACAATATCAATGATGGTTGACACAAAGTCACTACCATTATAGTATGCTCCTCACTTAGCAACGAATTCATTGAATGATGTGGTCTCAGGAGTGGAATTCCATCGTCAAGTGAGGAGAGGCTGTATTTATACAAACATATTTTAAATAGGGGTCGTCCTCGAAAGGGTTGGAAAGAGGGGGTAAAGGAGGTTTTGTGGGCAAGGGGCTTGGACTTCCAGCAAGCGTGCATGAGCGTGTTAGATAGGAGTGAATGGAGACGAATGATACTTGGGACCTGACGATCTGTTGGAGTATGAGCAGGGTAATATTTAGTGAAGGGATTCAGGGAAACCGGTTATTTTCATATAGTCGGACTTGAGTCCTGGAAATGGGAAGTACAGTGCCTGCACTTTAAAGGAGGGGTTTGGGATATTGGCAGTTTGGAGGGATATGTTGTGTATCTTTATACGTATATGCTTCTAAACTGTTGTATTCTGAGCACCTCTGCAAAAGCAGTGATAATGTGTGAGTGTGGTGAAAGTGTTGAATGATGATGAAAGTATTTTCTTTTTTGGGATTTTCTTTCTTTTTTTGGGTCACCCTGCCTCGGTGGGAGACGGCCGACTTGTTGAAAAAAAAAAAAAAAAAAAATTTAAATATGCTTATTTCTGTAGCATCGTAAAGCCAATTTTCTAAATTTTTACTTACAACACTGAGCACGTCATCTACTGCACATGTTAACTGCTTTCATTTTATAATAATTGTGTATTACGCCTACATACTAAAAACTTTTAAGTTATTTTTAACTGTAATTTACATATTTTATCTACACGTTGACTATTTTCATTAATTAGCACTAAAAAGCTCTCACTTGCCTACAGTGTTAAAAATTGTATACTGCAAATCTACTGCGATAAAACATTTTCTTTCACTGACATTTTCAAAATATAAAATAATCACATTTTCAATAATCGTGGTGATCATGCATGTGCAACAGAAATTGATGGTTTCTCTAATTCTGCTGCAACACCATCCTTGGACTCCTTGTCTGATGGAGTAGCTTCTTCTTCCTCTTTTATCTCTTCAATTTTGTAGGTCTTTAATGTAGGCTGACGTGGTGGCATCCAGTCTGGGATAATCTTGTCATGGATACGCCAAATCCCATAAGTGTTAGCAATGTGTTTCTCAAAAACCACATACTCTAGCACATCACGAGCCACAACTTCTGAGCCATGCTGAAGGCGGCCAAACCGATCATATACTGCTAGGATCTGTGTAGTTTAAGGAAATTAAATATACTGCATGCAAGAAGTAATCCTTATATTTTATTTGACTGAGATTTCTCAACGAAAAATGGATAGGTATAGAATAATACCAAAACATATAATTTCACAGAAACTAAAACAAATGGTCAGGATTATACACACACTCATGACTATGATCAAAAAACAGCTAAAAATATATTATTTATATACAAGACTACTGTATACTGTCAAAGGTGATGCAAACATCATGTATCTTACCTGTTTAGTATGGAATCGAACTGTAATTTGAGCAAAAATATTATCAGTAGTAATTACGTCGGTACATCTGGCATGCACTACACGTGGAGGTTCCAGAGAACCCAAGAAGTGCCATCTGATAGTACTTCTATGTGCTTGGTGGGTAACAATAGGGTAGGCTCGCTCAGTCACTGTTTGGTGGAGTCGTACCTTATCAAAACTGTTCATTGATAATATTATTATCTTCATTTTTTTTTAATTTGCAATAAAAAGTTCATATAATGATTATTTTAATAAAAAAGCAAGAAAAGTTTGGATAACTTACTCTGCTAAGGCCTTATGAGTATCAATATAAATTTTCTGTGCTTCCTCTGCAAAATCCTTGGGATCAAAGTCCTCATCATACTGTCTTATTTTTCTAATCGCCATCATGGACTTGCCTTTTTTCTCCAAGAACTGAAACTTTTGCTTAGCTCCCTATAAAAGAAACATCACAAAGTAAATAATTATAGTACGTGGTACAATACACTGTAAACAGGCATAGTGCCTTTTTTTAATAATTACACATAGTATATATACTGTATAAGTTTCCCACCTACAAGGAGTAGAAAGGGAAAACAATTTTGGGAAAATTTTTCCAGAAATTGACAAATTTCAAAACATTGATAAAAATAGTAAAAACTTATGCCAAAACAGTAATGCAGGTATGATTTCAAGCCAACAAACATTATTTACTATACATTTCAATTATAAATGTAAAATAGCTCAATGTTTTCTATGTTTGCCAATATGCAATAGCTGTGTTTTTAAACACATTTCTTTTTTAGTTTTTGTGTTGGAAATTAATTTTCTACCAGACTTTGGTAATACAACCAGCTACATAACAGGCCACCAGTGAAGGAGAATCAGTCTAGGTAAGAGGAAGGAGTGAGGGAACCTGAATATTGGCAGAAGAGCTGTACTTGTAAATTATATTATTATTGTTGTATACTTTGAATAATAATAAAAAAATAGTAAAGAAATAAATCTTAATTCTGTGGTAAGATCCACAACCCACAAATTGGGGGTAAATTATTTGAAGTTTTGTCAGTCTGTCTTAGATGGTCCAAAACATTGCCTAAAGTTTTCTCTCCAATATGTGGATAGTTGTCAATATATTATACTTATATACTTAAGAAAAATATTACAAATACAGTGGAACCTTGGTACTCGAACTTAAATTATTCCACAAGGCTGTTCGAGTACCAAATGAATTTTTCCCATAAGGAATAATGTAAACTTGATAAATCCGTTTCAGACCCCCAAAAATACACCTACAGCAACTTTGCGGTGTATATTCGTATGGTATTTATGATTGTATTCTCATTTTCTTGGTCTCATTTGATAGAATAAAAGATATATTACAGAAATAGAGATGATTTTGAATGGTTTACAGCCTAAAAAGCACCTTGAAATTGAGCTCAAAGTAATGGAAATGTTCGATTTTTGCTGATGTTCAAAAGTAAACAAATCATGTCAAGTGTCCAATACACGTCAACTGGTGGGTCTAATATGCTTTCACAAATGCGCTGATATTATTTATACTGTTTTTTCAATAATCCAGTAGTCTACAAATGGAAAGCAAGCATAATATAAGAGGGGCCCAAAGTGGGAAGAGCTATAGGAGAGAGAGGGAGGGGCCAGCAAAAGGAGCATTCAGTATCTGATGAGTTGTCTCGATAGCTGGATACTAGTGGTGGAGTGAATACAGTGTTGTGTAAATACGCTAATATTGGTAATAAAGGTTATCTATCTATCACGTTTATTCCAAACTGATATCAGAAACACGATAGATAACCAAGAAGCACAATAAAGATGCCTAAATTAAGAAAAGGCACATTATATGGAGGCGGAGGCAGTTTACATCAGGGCAAACACACACCAACCAATTTTCTTTTTGGTTGACTGTTATCACTAATCTTCTTAGGCCCCATGGTGACTTATTTATTTTATTATTATTATCACACTGGCCGATTCCCACCAAGGCAGGTTGGCCCGAAAAAGAAAAACTTTCACCATCATTCACTCCATCACTGTCTTGCCAGAAGGGTGCTTTACACTACAGTTTTTAAACTGAAACATTAACACCCCTCCTTCAGAGTGCAGGCACTGTACTTCCCATCTCCAGGGCTCAAGTCCGGCCTGCCGGTTTCCCTGAACCCCTTCATAAATGTTACTTTGCTCACACTCCAACAGCACGTCAAGTATTAAAAACCATTTGTTTCCATTCATCCATCAAACACGCTCACACATGCCTGCTGGAAGTCCAAGCCCCTCGCACACAAAACCTCCTTTACCCCCTCCCTCCAACCTTTCCTAGGCCGACCCCTACCCCGCCTTCCTTCCACTACAGACTGATACACTCTTGAAGTCACTCTGTTTCACTCCATTCTCTCTACATGCCCGAACCACTTCAACAACCCTTCCTCAGCCCTCTGGACAACAGTTTTTGGTAATCCCGCACTCTCCTAAACTTCCAAACTACGAATTCTCTGCATTATATTCACACCACACATTGCCCTCAGACATGACATCTCCCCTGCCCCCAGCCTTCCCCGCTGCAACATTCATCACCCATGCTTCACACCCATATAAGAGCATTGGTAAAACTATACTCTCATACATTCCCCTCTTTGCCTCCAAGGACAAAGTTCTTGTCTCCACAGATCCTAAGTGCACCACTCACCCTTTTCCCCTCATCAATTCTATGATTCACCTCATCTTTCATAGACCCATCCGCTGACACGTCCACTCCCAAATATCTGAATACATTCACCTCCTCCATATTCTCTCCCTCCAATCTGATATCCAATCTTTCATCACCTAATCTTTTTGTTATCCCCCTAAAACCCTTTCTCTTTCCTGTATTCACTTTTAATTTTCTTCTTTTGCACACCCTACAAATTCATCCACCAATCTCTGCAACTTCTCTTCAGAATCTCCCAAGAGCACAGTGTCATCAGCAAAGAGCAACTGTGACAACTCCCACTTTATGTGTGATTCTTTATCTTTTAACTCCCCGCCTCTTGCCAAGACCCTCGCATTTACTTCTCTTACAACCCCATCTATAAATATATTAAACAACCACGGTGACATCACACATCCTTGTCTAAGGCCTACTTTTACTGGGAAATAATTTCCCTCCCTTTCCTACATACTCTAACTTGAGCCTCACTATCCTCGTAAAAACTCTTCACTGCTTTCGTAACCTACCTCCTACACCCTACACCTGCAACATCTGCCACATTGCCCCCCTATCCACCCTGTCATACGCCTTTCCAAATCCATAAATGCCACAAAGACCTCTTAGCCTTATCTAAATACTGTTCACTTATATGTTTCACTGTAAACACCTGGTCCACACACCCCCTACCTTTCCCAAAGCCTCCTTGTTCATCTGCTATCCTATTCTCCATTTACTCTTAATTTTTTCAATAATAACTCTACCATACACTTTACCAGGTATACTCAACAAAAACCCTTTTCCCCTATAATTTTTTCACTTCTCTTTTGTCCCCTTTGCCTTTATACAAAGGAACTATGCATGCTCTCTGCCAATCCTAGGTACCTTACCCTCTTCCATACATTTATTAAATAATTGCACCAACCACTCCTAAAACTATATCCCCACCTGCTTTAACATTTCTATTTTTTATCCCACCCAATCCTGGCTGCCTTACCCCCTTTCATTTTACCTACTGCCTCACGAATTTCCCCCCACACTCAAACGGGCTCTTCCCACTCCTACAAGATGTTATTCCTCCTTGCCCTATACACGAAATCACAGCTCCCTATCTTCATCAACATTCAACAATTCCTCAAAATTTTCCCCTCCATCTTCCAATACCTCTAACTCTCCATTTAATAACTCTCCTCTCCTATTTTTAACTGACAAATCCAAATTTTTTCTCTAGGCTTCCTTAACTTGTTAATCTCACTCCAAAACTTTTTCTTATTTTCAACAAAATTTGTTGATAACATCTCACCCACTCTCTCATTTGCTCTCTTTTTACATTGCTTCCCACTCTCTTACCTCTCTCTTTTTCTCCATATACTATTCCCTCCTTGCATCACTTCTACTTTGTAAAAACTTTCATATGCTAACTTTTTCTCCCTTACTACTCTCTTTACATCATCATTCTACCAATCGCTCCTCTTCCCTCCCGCACCCACTTTCCCGTACCACAAACTTTGCAGAACACTCCAACACTACATTTTAAACCCACCCCATACCTCTTCGACCCCAATGCCTATGCTCTCATTAGCCCATCTATCCCCCAGTAGCTGTTTATATCTTACCCTAACGGGCCCCCTCTTTTAGTTTATAAACCTTCACCTCTCTCTTCCCTGATGCTTCTATTCCCTTGTATCCCATCTAAACCTTTTACTCTCAGTGTAGCTACAACTAGAAAGTGATCTGATATATCTGTGGCCCCTCTATAAACATGTACATCCTGAAGTCTACTCAACAGTCTTTTATCTACCAATACATAATCCAACAAACTACTGTCATTTCGCCCTACATAATATCTTGTATACTTACTTATCCTCTTTTTCTTAAAATATGTATTACCTATAACTAAACCCCTTTCTATACAAAGTTCAATCAAAGGGCCCCCATTATCATTTACACCTGGCACCCCAAACTTACCTACCACACCCTCTCTAAAAGTTTCTGCTACTTTAGCATTCAGAACCCCTACCACAATTACTCTCTCACTTGGTTCAAAGGCTCCTATACATTCACTTAACATCTCCCAAAATCTCTCTCTCTCCTCTACATTCCTCTCTTCTCCAGGTGCATACACGCTTATTATGACCCACTTTTCGCATCCAACCTTTACTTTAATCCACATAATTCTTGAATTTACGCATTCATATTCTCTTTTCTCCTTCCATAACTGAACCTTCAACATTACTGCTACCCCTTCCTTTGCTCTAACTCTCTCAGATACTCCAGATTTAATCCCATTTATTTCCCCCCACCAAAACTCCCCTACCCCCTTCAGCTTTGTTTCGCTTAGGGCCAGGACATCCAACTTCTTTTCATTCATAACATCAGCAATCATCTGTTTCTTGTCATCCGCACTACATCCACGCACATTCAAGCATCCCAGTTTTATAAAGTTTTTCTTCTTCTCTTTTTTAGTAAATGTCTACAGGAGAAGGGGTTACTAGCCCATTGCTCCCGGCATATAAAAAAAAAAAAATGCAAAGAACATGAAATAGTTTACAGTGAAGTTCAGTGGAGTTTTGGACTGAGCGCCAGCTGTAGGGAGAATGATGCACATGTTCTGGCAGGTCGTGTTTGTTTGGTCAAGTGCCGAGCAAACGGTCGACTACTGAGCTATTTTTTTTTACCGAACAAAGCGTTTGGGTACCAAACTGTTCGAGTACGGAGTTGTTTGAGTACCAAGGTTCCCCTGTATATGAATAAGTCAATAAACACGTATTATACAAAGTTGTCTAGAGTACAGTAACATTTCATGATGATTTTGTAATATTGCAGTATTTGATAATTTTACAATAATGATAAACCATTTATAATACTGTAGTTTATAATCTTTAAATAAAAACTAACATTAAAGGTAATCATCTTTCCTAAATTTACCCTTCACCACATTTTGTCTTTAATTTTTAGAGCATTAACTCACTGCTTTTGATGTTGTAGACAGTTTTCCATCACCTTCAGGAGGAACATACGGCTCAAAAGTTCCTGCTGTAGATGAGATTACTATAGGCTTTTCCTGCCAAGGACGTGTAGGCTGAATGCCCTTCTCCTTCATCTGAAAAACAAATGGGTAATCTCATAATGGAAAGAGAGGTGTTCTGGAGAAAGAATACACTAGGCAAAATTTACATGTAAGAGAAACCCATTTCCTCATACTCCCAAAACTGAATATGCATTCCATGTACAGTATAGTTAAATATTTAATCCAAATTTTGATTGAAGCAGCAGACATGCAACTGCAGCCTTTGTGATCGTCAATATGGCTTCAGGAAAGGTTATTCTGCTGCTGATCTGTTGTTAAACCTCTCCACTAAGTGGCACCAGTCACTGGATGAATCCAAAGTCAGCTGTGTGGTAGCACTGGACATTGCTGGTGCTTTCGACCAGGTGTGGCACCAGGGCCTCTTAGCAAAACTTCAAGCACTGGAAATTGCAGGCTCTACGCTATGTTTCCTCAGTGATTACCTTCATGGTAGATCTCTAAGTGTAGTTCTCAATGGAACGGAATCAGCAAGACATCCTATTGGGGCAAGTGTTCCACAAGGAAGCGTGCTGGGGCCATTGTTATGGAATGTCTCCTTCAATGACCTTCATCTCATCCCAGAATCACATACATATGCAGACGACTGTACACTGACATTCACTTATCCAAGAGAAGAAATGCCAGCTGCTCTAAGCTACATCAATCACCAGCTAAGAGCTATATCAGCTTGGGGAAATAGATGGCAAGTAACATTTGCACCTGAGAAAACGCAAATGATGATCGCCTCTAGGCACCATGATGGTAATGCTGGTGCAGTAGTAAGGATGAATGGGAGGGTGTTGGCACCTGGAGAAGGAGTTGATAGCCTTGGGGTGAAATTTGACTCCAAACTAACCATGAAGAACCATGTTGTAAATCTTGCAAACAAGGCAGCCAGGAAGCTTACAGCACTTCGCCGTATCTCGCATCTGCTTGACAGTAGGGGTTGCAAGATTCTGTACGAGGCACAAGTACACTCACACCTTGAGTATGCTCCACTTTCTTGGTTTGCCTGCCCCCCCCCCCTCTTATCTGCGACTGCTTGACAGAGTAGAGAACAGAGCAAGATGTCTCATCTCTTGCCTGGACCCATCCTGGATAGATCTGTCATTTCAGCAGAGCCTTCAACACAGGAGGGATGTGGGTGGCCTTACTGTTATGTACAAGGCCAATATTGTCAAAGTACCACACTTGGATACACTTCAAGGACAGCGTGAAACAAGCTTTTATGCCACAAGACAGGCAGAAAGCAGCAACTTCACTCTGGCTGTACCCTTCTCCAGAACATCACTCCATCTGAGATCATATATACCCAGGATGACTCAAGTGTGGAACACATTCGTACAGCATAATGATGTCAACGAGATAAAGTCAGTTGATCAAATGAAAATGCTGGCCCACAGATGGCCCCAATTTCATCCTGTTCCCTACTTGTATGTCTCATAACAATAAAAATGCTTTCAAATGAGCTGATGTAGGTAACAGCTCTACGCTTGCCAATAAAGTTAGGAATCCTTAACCTGTAAATAGCTTGTCAATAAAGCTAGGGATCCTTAACCTTGTCAAACCCTGTGTAAAAAAAAAAAAGCCTTTAATTAAGCAAAGACTGCACATGATAAAAACAAGTCTTTCCCAACAAATAATATGACACGATGGCTGGCATCTGTGATAAATATGAGGTGGTGGTGCTCAGGTTACATACTGTTGAGAATATGGATGGATGGTGAAGAAATGTGGATATTTGTTTTGTATTGGATGATAGCAATAGGTTAATTTTATCATATACACTGGCATTTTGTAGTGAAGTTTTGATTATGGCATCATGGGTTATTTGCAGTCATACTGGACATGAAGCCTCATTGAGAACCACATAAACTTATTGCACATATATGAGAGATTTCTCTCATTTTTCTAAGCTTCTACAATCATTATTGCTTGCTGTATTACTGTTTATAGTTTTGGGTAAAATAAGTCAACTCTATCTGTCTACAAGTTTCCTAAGGTTTCTGAAAGACAAAAACAGGATTTGAGCCTGGAGGTAGAAAAACTAGAAATCACCAGAAACATTCCCTTCAAGGAAGGTGTCTTGTGCTACAGGGCTCTTGACTAAATGATTTAGAACTACCCTTTCCTTCCTCAGATCAAACCTGATTATTTAACACTCCCCATGCACTCTATGAACAGTGGTAAACACACTTAGGGGATGATAAACAGTCAAAATTAAGGAATACTGAAGCAACCCTTTGCAGATGAGGGTGCTATATCATAAAACATTTAGTATGTTTCTACACAGAAGAAATGGAAGACACCTCAGATGCCAAAGAAATACAGTGCATAGATATGAAATGCAAAGCAATAGTATGATAAGACAATGATGACAGAGGAGACTTTATTGTGCAACATTTCACTACAAATTGACTATCCAATGGCTTTATCATGTACTTCATAAATCCCTTTGAATAAGGGATACAAAGTGGAATACACACTGTAAAAAGATAAGGAATACAAACTAGGAAAACAACTAATAATGACACAAATACTACAACTGTTATCTACACTGGATGGATGAAGTGTACTCATACCAGCCAACATATAACAGCATGGAACAGTGCTAGACAGACCTAAAGTACTTGCAAGAGGAACCCCAACAAGAGTGGGAGCCATAATTAACATCACTGACACACAAATCATAAAAGTTTTTGAAACAGTTCTAATAAAGCCTCTTGTTGGCAAAATATGTATTTAATCAAAAGTCTGCTTTTGTTATACACACCTTTTATAGCAGCCCCAGTACACATCACTGATGAAGAGTTGTAATTATCAGCCCTAAACAAAATACTTGTATGTAACAAGGCTTTTATAGGATTTCCCATGTTTTTCCAGTCTAGGGAGAGCTGTTGTTCACTACATAATGATATAGTAAATCCTGAGTATATCACAGGCTGTACACTTATCAATGCATATTCAAATGGAGATTTGTCCAATATGGCTAACAAGTTTAAATTAAATGACTTTAGCAACTTGACTGCAAAACCTCAATATGGTTTAGTATAGGCTGCATCACTTGCTGGTAGTAATAGTAGATGAAGCCTTCAAATTATTAGGGAACAAGTGTAGAGATTGTATTATAATGTACATAACTATACTGCAAATACTGTAAACAGATTCTATGAATACTGAGGGACAATTATAAAAAAAATATGGTAACGGTTTTCCACGTGAACACATGATTTTACAAATACTGTAGAAATAATTACATACAGTACACTATTTTATACATTAATTACACAGGGTTTATATGGACAAATTATTATTGGGTAATATCATTTGAGAAGCTCCTCCTATAAAAGATGCACAAAGTTAAACTGTAAAGTACAGTACAGTGGACCCCCGCATAACGATGGCATCACATAGCGATTATTCCGCATACCGCTTACTTTAATCGCAAAATTTTTGCCGCGCATACCGATTAAAAACCCGCTCACCGATTTTCGTCCGAGACGCGTCCAATGTGCGCCCTCAGCCAGCCTCACATGTGCCGCCCGTGCCATTGTTTACCAGCCAGCCTCCGCGGTAACATCCAAGCATACACTCGGAATATTTCGTATTATTACAGTGTTTTCGGTGCTGTTTCTGGAAAATAAGTGACCATGGGCCCCAAGAAAGCTTCTAGTGCCAACCCTACACCAATAAGGGTGAGAATTACTATAGAAATGAAGAAAGAGATCATTGATAAGTATAAAATGGAGTGCGTATACCCGACCTAGTCAAGCTGTACAAAACCCCAATCAACCATCGCTACTATTGTGGGCACCAGAAAGACAATAAAGGAAGCTGTTCTTCCCAAAAGGTTTAACTGTGTTTTCGAAACAAAGATCGCAAGTGATGGAAGAGTTGGGAGACTCTTATTGGTGGGGATAAATGAAAAACAGATAGCGGGGAGATAGCGTCTCTCAAGTGATCATATGTAAAAAGGCTAGGAAGTTGCATGAGGATTTAATTAAAAAAATGCCTGCAATAGTGATGAGTTGAGTGAATTTAAGGCCAGCAAAGGTTGGTTTGAGAGTTTTTAAGAAGCGTATGGCATCCATAGTGTAAATAAGGCATGGTGAGGCTGCCAGTTCGGACCACAAAGCGGCTGAAAAATATGTGCAGGAATTCAAGGGTAATAGACAGTGAAGGACTGAAACCTGAACAAGTGTTTAATTTGATGAAACAGGCCTGTTCTGGAAGAAAATGCCAAGCAGGACCTACATTACCAGGAGGAAAAGGCACTCCCAGGACATAAGCCTATGAAAGACAGCTTACTCTTCTAAAGTGTGCCAATGCTACTGGTGATTGCAAAGGGTGAAGCCTTTATTAGTGTATCACTCTGAAACTCCCAGAGCGTTCAGGCAAAAGAATGTCCTCAAGGATAATTTGTGTGTGTGTGGGAGGGCAAACAGAAAGGGCATGGGTCACTAGGACTTTTTCTATAATTTGGTTACACCATGATTTCCCCCCAATGTGAAAGATTACCTAACTGAAAAGAAATTAGAACTTAAGTGCCTCCGGGTGTTAGACAATGCCCTGGTCATCCTACAGACGTGGCAGAGCGACTTTATGGGGACATGAGCTTCATTAAGGTGAATTTTTTCCCTCCTAATACCACTCCTCTCCTGCAGCCCAGGACCAGCAGGTTATTTCCAACTTCAAGAAACGTACACAAAAGCTCTTTTTTGAAAGGTGCTTGGTAGGACCTCAGAACTCAACTGACTCAAAGAGAGTTTTGGAGAGATCATTTTAAATATCCTCAATTGTGTAAACCTTATAGGTAAGGCTTGGAGGGAGGGACTAAGAAGACCTTGAACTCTGCTTGGGAAAACTGTGGCCAGAATGTGTAGACAAAGGGATTTTGAAGGGTTTGAGGCTAACCCGGAGATGATTATGCCAGTTGAGGAATCCATTGTGGCATTGGGAAAGTCCTTGGGGTTGGAGGTTAGTGGGGAGGATGTGGAAGAGTTGGTGGAGGAGGACAATGAAGAACTAACCACTGATGAGTGATAGATCAACTTCAAGAGCAAGAGGCCAGACCTGAGGAAACTGTTCAGAGGGGGGAGAGAGAAATTGAAGAAGTTGCCTACTACAAAAAATTAAGGAAATCTGTGCAAAGTGGCTTGAAGTGCAAACCTTCATGGATGAAAATCACCCTCAACACAGCTATTGCAAGCCGTGCTGGGGGATTATTACACTGACAAAGTTGTTTAAACACTTTAGGCAAGTCATAAAGGAACGAGAGGTTTCAGGCCCCTATGGACAGATATCTTGTGCGAAAGAAGTCCAGTGACTCTGAAGCTGGCCCTGTGGCATTAAAAGAAGAAGGGAAGTAACCCCCGAAAAGGACTTCTACCCCAAGTCCTAATGGAAGGGGATTCCCCTTCTAAACACTAACACTCTCTCTCCCCTCCTCCCATCCCATCAATCATCACCAGATCTTCAATAAAAGTAAGTGTCATGTAAGTGTGCATGCCTTTTTCAGTTTGTGTGTATTAAAATTAACATTTCATGTGGTAAAAAAAATTTTTTTTCATACTTTTGGGTGTCTTGCACGGATTAATTTTATTTCCATTATTTCTTATGGGGAAAATTCATTCACATAACGATTATTTCGCATAACAATTACCCCTCTTGCACGGATTAAAATCGTTAACCGGGGGTCCACTGTATTAAAATTGAAGAAAATAAGAGTAATACAGAACTAATTATAAAAATATTACTAGTACATAATTGCTTACAGAAATACCAAATGATCTGTGATACAAATAATACCATAAGAGATATCATCTACCAATATCATTTATTACATAATAAACTAAAACAGCAAAATTCCACTAACTTTGGCACGGATCTCATCAGGAGTCATTTTGTCTACATCATCTTTCGTATCTATTTCTGGAAGCTCTACTTTGGTCACCTGAAAAAAAATATAAGTAAAGTAGATTATAATGGAATAACGATGAGTGAATGAAAACTAATTACTGATGAATGAGAGTACAGTACAGTGTAAGTGGAATGGTATGTGAATATCGACATTTTGAAACAAAGAAGACACTTTAATGCAGTACTGAAAAAGCTTGTTAACCAAGAAGAAACACTACCAGTTATAATGCTTTCTCAGCCGTATTGAACTGTCTTACTTATTCTAGCACAATATAGTATTATACTTGTATGAAAATTGAGTCTGAGATTAGAACAGGACTATTAGCCACATACAGTCTGTAGGACTAACAACCGCAAGTACCTCAGATGTCCAAAGGAAGGCTGTGGGTCAACTTGTCGGTCTTCAGTTATCATATTTTCATTTCACATGCACAGGCATAAATGTTAAAAGTTACAAAAACTGTGTGCTAATGAGCCAGTATGAGCCAGGATGTACAAGATATACAAGATGAGTTAACTGAAAAAAATCTAATCAGTTTACAAATAATGCTTGAAAAATTTATGAGATCAAAGCAAACTCTACTACAGGTTTCATTGGTTTAAAATATACAGTAGTATCAAGTTCCTTACCTTCAACCACCTATCCTTTTTGAATTTAGGATTATAATGCTTTCGCTTGAAGGCAAAATTGGGACGAAAATACTTGTAGTTGGGGTCCTTCGGTGTATAGTAGCTGCGACTGTGTGGTGTTAAACAAACATAACTAGGAGGAGTCTGGAAGAAATCACAAGGCATTACAGTCATCTCAGCAAAGGAAGGTGTTCATAATATAATTCCTGTAATTAAAAACTAAAAAAAAAAAAAGAAAAAAAAAATAAGCAAGCTGCCTCCTTAAATTTTTTTTGGTGTGAATTCAGATACCAATCTACAATATTTACTCTTACTGATGCTTTTAGTACAAGACATAACTATAATAAATACCTCGTTAGATGTTCATGTCCATTTACCTAACATACAGTCAGAAATGTTACATATAATTTTAAAAGGCTCTACCACTGAGCTACACGAGAATATGAATTGGAATACGTAGGTGTCAAAAATATGCACATATATAAGTACACCTTTAGGAGACTGTTTGCTTATATTTTCAAGAAATGCCAGGGTAACTTTTGGAGTGTCATTTGCCATTATTGCCAAACACAGATCACTGGCTAAATGATTGTGACTTTTCAATCTTTAATCACTGATTTGGTAAAAAAAATTTTTTTTTTTTCAACAAGTCGGCCGTCTCCCACCGAGGCAGGGTGACCCAAAAAAGAAAAAAAAAATCCCCAAAAAGAAAATACTTTCATCATCATTCAACACTTTCACCACACTCACACATTATCACTGTTTTTGCAGAGGTGCTCAGAATACAACAGCTTAGAAGCATATACGTATAAAGATACACAACATATCCCTCCAAACTGCCAATATCCCAAACCCCTCCTTTAAAGTGCAGGCATTGTACTTCCCATTTCCAGGACTCAAGTCCGACTATATGAAAATAACCAGTTTCCTGAATCCCTTCACTAAATATTACCCTGCTCACACTCCAACAGATCGTCAGGTCCCAAGTATCATTCGTCTCCATTCACTCCTATCTAACACGCTCATGCACGCTTGCTGGAAGTCCAAGCCCCTCGCCCACAAAACCTCCTTTACTCCCTCTTTCCAACCCTTTCGAGGACGACCCCTACCCCTCCTTCCTTCCCCTATAGATTTATAATGCTTTCCATGTCATTCTACTTTGATCCATTCTCTCTAAATGACCAAACCACCTCAACAACCCCCTCTTCTGCCCTCTGACTAATGCTTTTATTAACTCCACACCTTCTCCTAATTTCCACACTCCGAATTTCTGCATAATATTTACACCACACATTGCCCTTAGACAGACATCTCCACTGCCTCCAACCGTCTCCTCGCTGCTGCATTTACCACCCAAGCTTCACATCCATATAAGAGTGTTGGTACTACTATACTTTCATACATTCCCTTCTTTGCCTCCATAGATAACGTTTTTTTGACACCACATATACCTCAACGCACCACTCACCTTTTTTCCCTCATCAATTCTATGATTAACCTCATCCTTCATAAATTCATCCGCCGACACGTCAACTCCCAAGTATCTGAAAACATTCACTTCTTCCATACTCCTCCTCCCCAATTTGATATCCAATTTTTCTTTATCTAAATCATTTGATACCCTCATCACCTTACTCTTTTCTATGTCACTTTCAACTTTCTACCTTTACACACATTCCAAACTCATCCACTAACCTTTGCAATTTTTCTTTAGAATCTCCCATAAGTACAGTATCATCAGCAAAAAGTAACTGTGTCAATTCCCAGTTTGAATTTGATTTCCCATAATTTAACCCCACCCCACTCCCGAACACCCTAGGATTTACTTCTTTTACAACCCCATCTATAAATATATTAAACAACCATGGTGACATTACACATCCCTGTCTAAGACCTACTTTTACCGGGAAGTATTTTCCCTCTCTTCTACACACCCTAACCTGAGCCTCACTATCCTCATAAAAACTCTTTACAGCATTTAGTAACTTACCACCTATTCCATATACTTGCAACATCTGCCACATTGCTCCTCTATCCACTCTATCATATGCCTTTTCTAAATCCATATATGCAATAAAAACCTCCCTACCTTTATATAAATACTGTTCACATATATGCTTCAATGTAAACACTTGATCTACACATCCCCTACCCCCTCTGAAGCCTCCCCGCCATCCGCAATCCACATTTTGTCTTTTCCTCTAATTCTTTAATTTTAACCCTACGTATATTTTCCTGGGTTTTTACTCAGTAAACTTATTCCTCATAATTTTTACAACTCTTTTTCCCCTTCCCCTTTTTTAAAGGGGCTAACATGCTCTCCCCCAATCCCCAGGGACCTTCCCCCTTTTTTCATTTTTTAAACAAAAATACCAACCCTCCAACCTATACCCCCTTTTAAAAAAATTTTGTCAGATCCCATCAGGTTTCCCCCCCCCCTTTTCATTTCGTATGCCTCAAACCCCTTTCCCCCCACACTTTCCCCTTTACTCTCTTTACCCAAAAAATGGTATACCTCCCTGGCCATGACGAAATTCCCCCCCCCCCTTCCCCTTCCCCAACATTTAAAATTTTCCCAAAAAATTTTCGCCATCTTCTAAACCTCCCTTTCCCCATTACTAAAACCCCTATCTGTTTTTAATGACAAATCCTACTTTCCCTGGGTTTCTTAAAATTTTTTAACTCCTCCAAAATTTTTTTTTATTTTCATTAAAATTTCTTGACAGTGCCTCTCCCACCTTTTCATCTGTTCTCCTTTTGCACTCTCCACCCCTCTCTTCACCTTTTTTTACTCTCCATATACTTGCTCTTTTATAAAACCCTTTTGCTTTGTAAAAACCTCTCATAAGCTACCTTTTTCTCTTTTATCACACCCTTTACTTCATCATTCCACCAATCACTCCTCTTTCCTCCTGCCCCCACCCTCCTATAACCACAAACTTCTGCCCCACATTCTAATACTGCATTTTTAAAACTATTCCAACCCTCTTCAACCCCTCCACTACTCATCTTTGCACTAGCCCACCTTTCTGCCAATAACTGGATTTAATTCAATACAGAACATGTGGAACCTCATTATCACTAATTACTGCCAAAATGCTTTGTATAATAAGTGGCTTTCAATGAAGTAGTTATATAAGTCAATCGCCTTAATTGTATAACATGCTGTACTCCTCTTTATAAAGTTTGTTTGTTGGAGCTACCTGGCATGGCTGTGTCCACTATCCCCAAAACTGCAAGTGCCATTAAGTAGGTGTGGGAGGGAACTGACTCTTCTATCAATGTATATTTTAACCCTATTAATGCATCATGAGGAAGGGTAAGTCTACAAAATACTAGGTCAAGTGAGTAACCCATACATATTTCAGTATTTTGTTTAAAACAATAATTCATGGTGAGCATTCTTATTATCTATGTGATAAGTTTATGCACATAGATATATCTAGAATGTTTCTTGTAGATGCTTTAGGATATAACACTGTTAGGTTTATATTGTAATTAAACCAAAGAATGACTCCTCCACTCATAAGCAAATAACAAATAAGTTTAGCTTCTGAACCTGACATTAGCAGGATATTATCTTGTTATCACATTCATGTGGAGCACTAAACCCATATTGGGTAATACAGCACCTGGGGAATGGGAGGTACTCAGGTTTGATCCAAGAAGGCAGATCCAATTCCTTGGATCAAAGAACCTTTCTCGAGGGAATGAAGCTGTCTGTAAATAAATCACTTCTGTACTGATATTAATTATAATATTTATAGGGAAGCTCTGGCCCGGTGGCCTGGTGGCTAAAGCTCCCGCTTCACACACGGACGGCCCGGGTTCGATTCCCGATGGGTAGAAACATTTCGACGTTTCCTTACACCTGTTGTCCTGTTCACCTAGCAGCAAATAGGTACCTGGGTGTTAGTCGACTGGTGTGGGTCGCATCCTGGGGGACGTGATTAAGGACCCCAATGGAAATAAGTTAGACAGTCCTCAAAAACGCACTGACTTTCTTGGGTTATCCTGGGTGGCTAACCCTCCGGGGTTAAAAATCCGAACAAAATCTTATCTTATCTTATCTTAAGACTTCAGTAGTCTTACAGCACCTGGGAAATGGGTCGCAATCAAGGTGAAGAGTAGCTCTAATCCTCTGGATCACGAGATAAGATAAGATAAGATAAGATTTCGTTCGGATTTTTAACCCTGGAGGGTTAGCCACCCAGGATAACCCAAGAAAGTCAGTGCGTCATCGAGGACTGTCTAACTTATTTCCATTGGGGTCCTTAATCTTGTCCCCCAGGATGCGACCCACACCAGTCGACTAACACCCAGGTACCTATTTGCTGCTAGGTGAACAGGACAACAGGTGTAAGGAAAAGTGTCGAAATGTTTCCACCCGCCGGGAATCGAACCTGGGCCCTCCGTGTGTGAAGCGGGAGCTTTAGCCACCAGGCCAACGGGCCACCACCAGGCCACGAGCCTTACATCTGCATTCGGCTACCTTCTAGAAGAAACATTCATGGGGAAGCATTAAACCTGCAGGGGTCATAGAGCAGCTGGGTAATGGGAGGCAACCAGGTTCCATCTGAGGAAGAGCAGGGTAGCTCAAATTCCTTTTTATTATAATCATGGGGAGCACTAAACCCGTAGGATTATACAGCGCATGTGAGGGGGGATGGAATTTGTGCATGGGGCTCAACAACAAGTAACCATCTCAGACCACTAATTACCCAACAAAAGGCTGCAGTTAGAATGATAACAAATTCTCACTATAGGCAGCACACTCCACCAATATTCAATACACTAAACCTCCTCACCATACAAAACATCCATACTTACTACTGCACCTATTACATACATAGAACACTTAACTCTGATATTAACCCTCCCCTCAAACATCTCCTTACCAACCTCAACAGAACACATGACCATAACACAAGGCACAGATCACTCTTTGATCCTCGTGTCCATCTCACACTATGCAAAAACTCAATGCACATAAAAGGCCCTAAAATCTGGAATTCATTACCTGTAAATATAAAAGAAACACTACCTGTTTATAAATTCAAGTCTCTTCTCAAAGATCACTTACTCACCCAAAACCAAATAAATACTGAATAACTGAACCTTATAAATTGTATATCTTAAATGTTTCTCACAATTATATCACATAAATGTTAAACCTAAAACCCAATCTAATTTTTATTATTTTTTAAATACACTACCTAACAGAATACTCCATTCTACTGAATGTACAACAATGCATACAACCATATGACCTGTCTTTGTAATACTCACTTGTGCTTTATAGTAATCTGTTTACATTAATGTTTTATCACTGATTTCATCATTGCTTAGTTAATCTTAAGTTAATTTTAAGCCAGCCCGTAATGCTATGCATAGTATAAGTGGCTTTGGCATACTGCTCTTACCTGTATTTGTTGTACCTCTGTATGTGTGCTCAAATTTTTAAATAAATAAAATAAATAAATAAATAAATTCAGGGAACCGGAGCACAGATCCAATCACCAGCGTCACGGAATTTCCCTTGAGGGGTAAAATTCCTTTGACCAGGAGCCCTTCACATAAATTTAAGTTGTTTAATTAAGTAACTATTATTAATATTAACATTATAATCAAAACCAAGCGCTAGTATTACTAATATAAACTTACAAATAGCGTTAACCGAGATAAGGAACTTGTAATTCTGGCTGCCATTGTTTGTGTTGAGGTTGTTAAAGGCAACTAAAGCTTACATCTTATTGAGGCCTTACCGGAGTTTAATAATAATAATAATAATAATAATAATAATAAATAATGGTAATAATTATTATTATTATTATTATTATTATTATTATTATTATCAAAAAGAAGCGCTAAGCTACAAGGGCTATACAGAGCTGCAGGACAGGAAGGAAGCAGGGGTATCAGGTGGCAAAAGGGAGAGGGATAATTAGTAGGGTACGGAGAACAGCGGAGCAGTGGATAGTACATGGGTACAGGGTAGCAAAAGATTGAGGTAGAAAGGGCTGAGGGGATTATTATTATTATGATCACAGGGAAGCGCTAAACCCGTAGGATTATACAGCGCATGTGGGGGGGATGGAAGGTATTCAGGCTCAATTCAGGGAACCGGAGCACAGATCCAATTCCCTAAATCAAGAGCCCCTCACCAGCGTCAAGGTACCTCCCTTGAGGGGAGGGCTGAGGGGAGTGCGAAAGGTATCGTCATCAGAGTTTGTGGAGTAAGTCAGTTGTCAAGAAGTCAATGAGAGAGTCAGGATTAAAGGAGGGTCCATCAGCAAGAAGAGAAGGTAGAGAGATAGTAGAGTGGAGACGACGTTGGAGGTAAATTCTGCGTGCTCGTTGATAGAGGGGGCAGTCTAATAGAATGTGACTAACAACAGGCGCAAAGAAACGCCCAATTTTTCCACCCCTTCGTCGGGAATCAACCCCGAAACCTCACCGTGAGAAGCGAGAGGTTTTGCCACCAGGCCACTGAAAATTTAAATATATATTGCATTTGTAATAATCTCCACAAACTTTATATCAAATTATTTCACTAAAAATTACATTATTATTATTATAATCATGGGGGAAGCGCTAAACCCATAGGATTATACATCGCCGGTGGGGGGAGGGGGAATGGAAAGTATTCAGGCTCAATTCAGGGAACTGGAGCACAGATGCAATTCCCTAGATCAAGAGCCCCTCACCAGCATCAAGGAACTTCCCTTGAGAGGGCTAAAACTTACAAATTGTTTACAAAGTTGGTTTAAGGATGTCTCAAATGCTCTGCATAACCAGTGATTTTCTGTAAATAATGTCATTAATGTCACCTTTTCTGATTCAAGAGTAAGCCATAATTTGCGATACTAGTTTACCAGTGAACATATTTTGAAATGATTGAACAGCAACAGGCTTTTCGAAGCTGATATATGGCGCCCTAGTCAATTGCCAGAGTCCTGGAGTATACCAGGGAGAATATCGCAACCATGTCACAAATTGCGAAATAGGTGGGGGGAAAAGGGCTGGAGCCTCTGGTAGGCGATTATATAATTATAAACCATACCACGGGTGGGTATAGAACCCGCGATCAGAAAGTCTCAAAACTCCAGACCGTCACGTTAGCCACAGGGCCAGCTAGCCACAATAAGATTCGTCCAACTAGGTATATTTCTACACCATAGGCAGGTTAGCATGGTTTTGGAGTTTTGAGACTCTCTGATCGCGGGCCTCTTCAAGGGGGGCTCCTTGTTGTGGTGAAGAGGCTCTTGGTCTGAGGAATCAGACCTGTCGGTCTCCTTCCTCAGACCGAACCTAATTACCCCCCAATCCCCCCTCCCTTTCCCATCCTCCCATTTTTCCTTTCCTCCTCCTCCTCCTCCCCACCCCTCCCTTTTGCCCTTCCTCTTTTTGGCCTTTGGGATTTCTCCCACAGGCGCGCTAGTTCCTAGGTAGGGGAAAGGATACCGGGCTCCATCCCATTCCGTTGAGGTTCTTGGAGGTGGCGTAGTTTGCCGTGGAATCTGGATCGCCTGGGGATGTTCCGATCCTTCTCCGGTATCCCAGAGTAGCTTTGGGTGTCTTTCGGGCGACGGGTATATCTCTGGAAGCCACCTTTCGGATTCCGGGGGTGGTGACCGAAGGAGGTATGCTTTGTGGAGGATATCCGGCCACCCTCTCTTTTGTCCACCGAGGTAGCTCGGCAGATGTGAGGTTGCTATCCCGGATTGCTGGTTTACTGGCATGAAGGGGAGGGTATGGCACGGGTTCCATGCTGCATCTGCGCTACTAGCGGTGCTGAGGTTCTCTTGGGCGCAGAGGGAGATTTCCGGCCCTTTCATTCCTCCTGGGAACTATTCCTCCCCGCTCCCCCCTTTTTTTTATTCTTTTTTTTATTTTTATTTTCTTTTCTTCTTTCTTTTTTTTTCTTAAAAACAAAAAGCAAAGGAGTAACCTAACCATGGAGAACCCAATCCATGAACCCACTACCCCCGGCCCCTTCTTGATACCACACCCCATTCTGACTCTGCTTTGTTTCTAGACCACTCTTCGGACACTCCTGATGCCCCTGTACCTCTTGCTGGTGCTGTTTCCTCACCCGCTTCAGGTACCGGGGCTTCGACTGACTCCTTCGATTTGTCTGACCTCCACTCTCCTTTGACTATGTTTCCGGCCTCTCCCTCTACGGTACGGCAATTTTCGAATCGTCAGCCCATTTCACGCCGGACCAACTCCGGTCCTACTCCTAAATGCTAACGTCAATCTCCTGATGATGCTCCTTCGTTACCTTCCCATTCTACTCGGAAAAGACCGACATGTCATGCACTCCCTCTCCACGCTCAGTTTCAGACCACACAATGGAATAAATTCTTTACTTTAAGACCGACTTCTTCTGCCTATCTTTCTGACCATAGTATTGGCAAAGCGCTCCTGCATCATGTTGGTAGAGATATTTCATTTCATGCTCTCAAGAGCGGTACGCTCATCATCACTGTCCAGAATGCTACCCAAGCTCATGATCTTTCTCTCCTTTCGAATATCGATACTACTCCTATCACTATTGAAAAACATCTTTCTCTCAATTCTTGTAGTGGTACTGTCATTCTGCCCCATACCATAGTCCAACAGAATTTCCAGTCATGTGGCAATGACATTCTTGAACAGCTGGAACTCCAGGATCTCCCAATCCTCAAAGTAGACACTTATGTCCTTCCTGCCCGTGGGCGGAGACGTTACCCTTGCAATGTGGCTCATTTAACTTTTGACAGCTGAGAACTCCCGTTCTCTGTATATGTCGCAGGACATTGGTTACAAGTTCGAAAGGTGATACCTACACTGCAACAGTGTAGAAATTGCTGGCGTTTTGGTCACCCAGCAAAATATTGCAGATCTATAGCCGAATGCCCAGTCTGTGGTGCCGACGACCATTCTAATACATCTTGCAGTCAACCTCCATCTTGCCTTTATTGTAATGAAGCTCACCCTTCGTACTCTCGCCGTTGCCAGGTCTACTTAAATGAACGTGAAATCCGTTGCCTCAAAGAGGCAGAAGGTCTCCCTTATGCTATGGAGTTACTCATCTCTGCCTCCAAGGGAGACTACCCCGTGTTTCTTATTCTCGTGTGTCAAAACATCCCCCCACTTCTGGGGTCCCATCTTCTGCAGCCTCCTCTGTTGTTACCCCTCCCATAGCCACTCTGGCATCTAATCCTTTTGCTGTCCTTGGCTCTGACGTTCCGACTACAACTCAGTCTGTTCTCACATCTTCGTGTCCTTCCTCACAAGCCCCAGTATCGACAAGATCTCGTACGACACCTTATACCAATCGCCCCTCTACTTCTTAGAAGTCCAAAAAATCCACATTGCTCAAATCTTCTTTGCCCCTTCCTTCCCTTCTTCCACCTCCACACTTTACCTTTCCAGTCTCTGTGCCTAGTTCTTCCCCTCTCTCTGGCTCTATTACAAGTGTGGAGATTCACCCTCCTCCTCGTACTATGCCTTCCACCCCCGTCCCCTCCCAAGTTTCTTCCTCTTCTGCCACTTCCCAGGTTTCTGCCTCTTCTGTCCCCCCCCCACACTTCATCTCCAGTCCCTTACACTCTTTCGTCCCCCTTTACTTTGGTACAGTCCATTACTATCCCAATCTTTACTCACCCTCCTATTTCTACCTCCAATATGGTCTCCCATACATCTTTGAATTCAGAAACACTTGAAGCCATCTCAGAATATATTGCAGAGACTAAACCTTCAATAGACACTGATTCCCTTCCTGTTCCTTCTCTTCCCTCTTTCCATCTTCACAACCCCATTCTTCGCAATGCTCCGTTCCTTCGCTGCTTGAACGTCTTCCAATGCCACCACACGTTGACTTTTCTAACCCCTCTAGCCCGTAGGTGCCTTTCCCTACGGATTCCTGGTATTTTCTTCATCGCCAATCATGGCCTATTTAAAGTGGAATATCAGCGGCCTCAGGGGTAATCGGGGTGAGCTTCAGATGTTGCTTTCCAGGTTTTCCCCTGTTGGTGCTTGCTTACAAGAACCAAAATTACACTCAGCTGTTTTCCAACCTATCTCAGGCTATAATTTATTGTATTCTTCGGATCCTTTCTCAGATGGGACCTTTAATGAAAGTGCCCTTCTTCTACGCAATGATATTCTGTACTGTCAACTATTTGTCCATACCTCACTGCATTACACTGCAGCCCGTATCCACTTGAATAAGTGGTTTACAATATGTTCTTTATATCTCTCTCCTTCTCGAGCATTTTCTATCCCAGACTTTGCCTTTCTTGTTTCATCCTTACCACCATCACTTCTGTTACTTGGTGATTTTAACGCCCACCATTTCCTCTGGGGGGGGGGTCTCATTGTGACTCACGTGGCATCCAGTTGGAGGCTTTTCTCGCCTCTCACCCCCTCCATGTTTTAAATACGGGTACTCCTACCCATTTTGATCCTCGTACTCATACTCTCTCTTGCATCGATCTATCAGTCTGCTCTTCCTCCACTGCACTAGACTTCACCTGGTCTGTTCTACCGGACTTACATGACAGCGATCATTTTCCAATCATTCTTACTTCTAGTTAATATTCACCACCTTTCTGTAGCCCTCGCTGGCAATTTGATCGGGCAAATTGGGACCTTTACTTGCAGCTCACTGCTTTTAGTGCGGTTCCTTCTTCATCCTCCATTGATGAGCTCCTACACCTCTTCTCGATGTCAGTTTATACCGCAGCTTATCATTCTATAGCCCAAACCTCAGGCAAGCA